GAGAACTCGTCCAGACTGGTCTCAAGACCGACGACCAGTTAATCATAAGACTGATAAAAAGATCAGTCTTTTCAGGACTGATCCATCCTTAAAATTGGTCTCCAAACACAATCTACGATCATCGATTATGGAAGTAATAAAATTCAATAATTTTTATGAGCAATTTGACCAATAAAATTATTCTCTATGCAAATGACTTGAATGATCTTCCCAGTATAGCCACCAAAATTTTACACGCATGTGATCGTATTTGTGACGTATCAAAAAATCTTCAAATTCACTTAAGTTAGGGTTAGCGTTTGTATTGGGATTAGTGTTGGCATGCGAAACTATTTTGGCAAATTGCGAAAGACGAAACTACCCGGCGAAAGGCGAAACTGGTGAGACTGGTGAAGCTGTGAAATGGCGAAGCTCCTGACAAAGTTGAAAATTCTATGGAAAGTTAAAACTTGGAGAAGGAATGACTATGCATGTTAGTAAATCAAAATATTTTGTGTGTGGCTATTGAAAACAGGCGGTTTGGTCATTAGGATCAACTAATCTTATTTTTAATCAGCAACTGGACAATTATATTGAAAGAGACATTAGATTTGGTGAACAGAAGTTCTAAAGCTTAGGTCATCTTTACTACTACTAAGGATGGGTCAATTATCACTCTGGAAGAGGTACAGTAATCATAGATTAATCTATAGGTTTTATAAAGATAATTATATTATGCACTTAAAATAATATTAAGAGATAATTAAGAAAAGCGTGGTTAGATAATAGGACTTATTTAATAAAATAAAGGAGAGTTTTTTTAAAATGAACTTAGAAGCTTACATTTTTTTTCTGTTATTTTATATTTTTAGTATAAAATCTTAATATAAATAATTAGAAATTTTGTATATCAAAAATTTGAAAACAAATTTATTAGACCATCTGAATTGATAATTTGAAAAATCTTATCAGTTCAGAGTAAAGAGAAGATGTTAAAAAATAGGTATTAGGGTCTTGGTAAATTTTGCAAAAGAAAAATAATGTAATAGTAACAGTTTAACAGAATATCTTTAACTGCAAATATTGGCCTAACTATAGTATATCACATAAAACTAGATCAGCTGTATGTAGAATATAGAAGATTTTAATAAGCTTTCTGTCAAAAATAAATTTTAAGAATATTAGAATTTTGGATAAGTTGTGTTTTAAAGATGTTCTATAATATAAGTTGAATATATATGCAAAAGGTTTACATAGATAAGATCTGTAGTCAGCTTACAAATATGACATCTAGTATAAAAGCTATATAGTAATATATAGATAAACTACTTAAATTAGTTACTAAAAGTACACATATAACTAATTGTAATCTCCTATATAAGAAAGCTCTTAGAGATTTTTGTATTTATATAAACTTGAATAAAATTTTTCTTTAAAAATGAAACTTTAATTATTAAAAAAAAATTAAAAATTAATATTTAGTTAAATAAAATTTTTAATATCTTATTTATAAAGATCTTTTTGTTATTTTCTTCTTTTTATTATTATAAAAGTCCTTAGACGTCTTTAGAATTTGTTACATTTCTTTTAAAATTAGAGTTATTATTCATTAGAGATTATTGAATAACATGTGGTTCTTATATTTATTACTATACTTATTTATTATTCTTATTATATAATTTCATAAGTTTCTGATTTTACAGTATAGGATCTAATATCTTTTATTCAGTTTGCAGTTTTCTAATTTAAATAACCCACTAGTCAGATTATTTTTTATATTTAATGTTTTTTTTATTAATTCTTTTAGTTAGATTTTCTTTATATTAGTATTATTTGTTAACAGATTTAACTTTTTTAATTGTCTTTAACTCTGTAACTATACTAGTAAACTGTATTTTTATATATAAATTTTGTTCTTTTTTTTTAATAAAAAATCTTTTAAAGACCTTTTAATTATGGTCCTAATGAAATTGTTATTATCTAATAGAATTTAAACTTAAAATTTTTAATTGTAATTTAAAAACACTAATTAGTATACTATCAACTTTTGGATTATTAAAGAGCTTTTTTTTAATTAGAATTAATAATTTTTTTTTATTTATAATTTATTAAAATTATTAGATATAATTAAATTTTAACTAATTATTTTTGCTTAATCAATTAAAAAATAATAAAAAAAATTTTTTTAAACCTACTTTTTTGTAGAACTTGATTTATTAAAAAATAAAAATCTAATATATACAATGCATAAGCAAGTAAAAAAAAATTAAATAAATATACAGCAGAGGCTTAGTCTGAACTCATTAGACTGCAACTAATAACTTAATATAAACATACTAACAGAAATAAAGCAAAGATTAAAAAAAAAAAAGATAAAAAGTTACTATTATAATCAACAAAAATATACAATAGTTCTAGAGCTTTATATTCAAAATTTTCTTTTAAACACAGTTACAATTACTAATAAACAATAAGTTAATAAATAAGATAAAACTAATAGCAAACTAGAAAAGACCTATATTAACTAAGTATCAAAAAAATATGTATACTTTTTTTAGAACTAAAAAGTAAGAAATTAAACTTATTCTTATTAGAAAATGTAATAATATCATTTTATATAAATAATAATAACAACAAATTAGTTTAATAGATCAAACAATATAAATACAAATATGATAGATAACAATAATAAACAAATTATTATTTTTTACAATAAACAGTCTCACATTACTACAAATAATATATTCATAAATGCTGACACAAATCTGATTATCAAATATGACAATAAATAACTATTCAATATGCAGAAAACATTCAAACAATAAAAGCCAAAATAATACATATAATAATAAAAAAATAACAATAAAATGAAAAATGAATCTAATAATATAATAGCTAGTCATTAAACAAAACCTAAACTTTAAACTTATAGTCAAGTAATTATATAAAACATTACAATAAAGAAAGTATGCAAACAAATAATAAGCAAAACTATAACCAACTATAAATAAATATTATCTAACTAAATATCAAAAAAGACAACACTAAACTTTTTAATACAACTATATAGAATTATAACAAAATTATAGAATTACTAAAAACTAAATAAAAATATAGCAACCTAATGAAGTAAATAGAATATTAACCTTCAAATAGCAAATCTAAGGTTCAATTTTTACAAACAATAAAATTTGAAATTATATCTGTATTATAGTAACTGTCTTTTATTGATCAGTTGAATTTAGATATCTGTAATCTTAGATACACCAAGTTGGGTTTCACCTAATATTAAAAGCTTTGTTATTTATATAAGATGTAACATTACACATATATAGCAGTATATAAAAAACTAGTATTATATAAGGTTTTAGTACAAACCTGTAATAAGATCACTGGACATAATAAACTAAAAAACCAAGAAGATAGAAGCTTGCTTGAAATTTTAAATAAAAAGGTAATATAAACTTTTAATAATATTGTTGGACCAATAGTAGTCAATAAAACACTTTAAAGAAATTATTAGATAAACTGAATAACAGATATATGAAAGAATTAAATATACCAACTAGGTTGCTAGAATTATCAAAAAAAAGAAACATTAGTATATTATACTAGACTATTTGAATTGGTAGTCTAAAAGTCCTATCAGTTCCAAATAAGAATTAGTAAGAGAAGATAAAGATAATATCAAAAAGAAAAATACCAAAGTTTGAGTAAACTTTATAAAGATAAAAGTAGTTTAATAAATAACTCTGACTACAAGTGTTAGTTCTGTCATAGTAAAAAACTAGATTAGTAAAAAAAGAAAATACAGCTTACTGTAGTAAATTTATCTTAAGAATAAAAAATAGTTCTAAGAATTATAGTCTTAAGATTAAGATAAAAATCTGAATACAAGTGACTTGATGAAGTTAATATAAGAGTTTCAAATCAAAGTGTTAAATAGAACATCCAAACAGAAATATTAAGTATAGCAACTGGTAAAAAATCTTTAAGTAAACTTTTTAAATAAGTAATATAAAAAAGTTATATATATAATAGTTGTATGCTTATTGTAATGCCTAACAAAAGTATTAATAAAGTTAAAAAACCAAAAAGGTTACCTTAATATCAAAAAAAAAACTAAAAACTAAATAAAAAATAAATAAATTTGTAACTTATTTCTTAAACTGTCTAGTATCTAAATTTGAATACTAAAATGATTTTTTGGCAATTTTTAGACAATTACTTAAATTTTTCTAAAACATGCCTTCATCTTTCTAATATAGAATAAAAGCATTTCATATTGCTGATTATATATTATTAAAGCATTCATAAATGCAATATATATTTTAGATAAATTGACAAATTAAAGTTGCAAATTAAATCAGCTTGGCAAAAAAGAAAAAGTAAAAATGTAAGAAATGAAAAAATACAGTTATTAAAACCTATGCTAAAACACCAATAAAGATTGTTAAGAAGCAATTTTATATAAATATGTATATTTACTACAAACCTCAAACTGATTCTATATCTAATTTTAATTAAAGTGTATGATCAAATAGACATATGATTTTAGTGTTCTTAAATTCTAACTGCATTCCTTAAAATAAAATTTATTTTTTTAATCTTAAAATAAACCTGATTTTTGTTTTTAAAGTAAACCTTAATTTTTACAAATATGAACTTTTAAAAAAAACAAGCAAATTGATAATTAACATCTACATCTATTATCATATTATTCAAATTAGATTAAAATTATCTTTTATCTTTACATGCATTGTACTATTTTGATAATATTGCTAGACCTATTCATAAATTATTTTTTAGGCCCATAAACTAAATTCTTGCTTACAGATATTTACCTAATATTAATTCAGAATTGTGTATTTATATAGCCAGATAAAATTGATTAATTGCAACAAAATTTCCAATTGTTAATAAAAGTCTATCTACTGTGACAAAAAAAAAAAAACCTCAAATTGTAAAAGCTATTGTGAACAAAAAAAAATAAATAAATAAAAATAAAATCTTAATTAAACATGTTTTCTACACTTGAGTTTGCTTTATTTAACTCTAAAATTCAGAAAATATATCTAAAGGATGATGAAGAAGTTACATCCATTTTAACAAATTATTGCATTACTTAAATAACCTAAAATTAGATGATGATAAAGAGAAGAAGAAAACAGAAATAGGTACAAGAAGTACTTGCACAAAAAAACATAAATTACCAGAAAATAAACAAGAATTACCACCACCATCTTCTGATTTTAAACCATTCATTTACCAAAAACCACTGCATCGAGTATCTGTTTAGCTGCTATTACATAATGATGTAGATGTTTCTAAGCTGATTGACTTTTTTTTTCTTTTTTTTAACATCACCATGCTGGACACAATTGTTAATAATACAAATCTCTATGCACTAACAAAAGGTGCTGATGTGACTAGTAGGCAATAGTTGAACTTAAGTTATAAAGAGCTTATTATCTGAATTGCTCTTGTCATTTATTAAAAACCTTATAAATTGCCCTTTCTAGATCAATATTGGAATGAGAATGAATGACTTCCAATTTATTATATTTTAAAACAAATGTCACTATAATGGTTTGAAATAATTAAAAAGTTCTTATATGTTTTGCCCTCTATTGCAATCATTAATAATTATTTTGATAAGCTGAAACCATTACTTTTGCATATTTGTAACATTTTGAAACAACTTTATATACCAAATTCAAACATCTTAGTAGATAAGATAATAGTTAGATTTTTTGGAAGAAGCATTTATACTGTTAGAATTAAGAACAAACCTACTTTAGAAAGCTTCAAAATTTTGTTTCTGTATGAATCTGAGTATACTTACATCTTTCTTCTAATATTATATGTCTCTCCAAGTAATGTAATGAAAGTGCATAGTCTTAATCAAGTTGAATGTTTAGTCAATCATTTTGTTGAGCAGCTTCCTCAATATTCATACAATATATATATAGATAATTACTTTTAAGAATCCTTCTTTTTCAACATCTCTAGCAAATTAACATTGGTGCCTGTAGAACTATCTGAAAAATTGCTTCTGGTTTTTCAAAAGTATTAAAAGTGAATAAAAGTGTCAAACTCAACTGGAATGTTCAATCTGACATTGTAGTAAATTATGTGTTAGTTTTTTTTTGACAAGACAATGGTTCTGTAACATTGGTGACAACATTTTATAGAATTGTTGGTGACAAATGGAAGGTGAAGCAAGAAAAACAATGGCCAAGAAAAACAAGCACTAATGCAATAAAGGTGCATGTAATATTTGGATCTGAATCAAAAAAAATTTAAAAATTCCAAAAGTGATAGATAATTACAACAATTGTATAAATGGCATAGATATTGCAAACCAGTTATAATCTTATTACAATACATAGCAAATAACTTAGTAAAATTGGATGGCACTTTTTTCTGGCTTTTAGATATAGCTATTATTAATATATATCAAATCATCAGAACTTTGGGATCAACAAAAGAGCATAAGAAGTTTCATTATAAGCTTGTTTGGGACCTAATTAATTTTGCAAATGACACCAGTGTTCAACTAAAAAATAGTTTGAAAAATTCAAAAGAAATAAAATTAGAAGAGGAAACAAAATAACTCAAGAAAATGAAGCATTTTGAACTCTCAGACAAATGGCTTGTACCTGGAAACCACTTCGTAGAGTAGAAAGATCAACATAAAGCCTGTCAATAATATACATGGCTAGCACATGAAGATAAATTAGACATAAATTGTAAATTATCACATTGAAGTAGTTATTGGTACATAGCATACAATAAACCTCTTTATTGCAATAATAATTGGAATTGTTTTTTACAATTCTATACAGTAAATAATGCAAAGGTCTAATTTCTTTTTTTATAAAAATAAGAATTGAATAGATATATGTTTTAATAAGATATTTAAGTAATAAATTTTTTTTATAACATGATCACTCTTATGTATGAATTTTTAAGTAGCTTGTTCATATGATATGATATATTACATTCGATTAATCAACTTAAGGTTAAATAATTCAACAATTATATAAAGCTACATTAATCTTTAATAAGTATGCTAATCTCTAAGTATGCTTTACTAAATAAAACCAAAATTTAATACATATATGTTAATAAATTCAAATACAAAAATGAAGCAAAAGTGCATTAATTTGATAAATAACTTCTTTATATGTAGTAATAAGCATACAACCCTTTTTATTATATATAGTTTCTTTTATTCAATGAAATAATTATACTAACATTTCTTATACCAACTTCCTATTAGCCTGACAAATGCATTTACTTAATATTAATTTGACAAGCAAATATGCAACATTCACCTAATGTGATAAATACATTTTAATCTTCATACATTATAATGGAAATGGCCAATATTCATCTAAATGTAAAAGACATATTTTTATCATTAGTTTGGCATAAGAAAAAAAACTTTAATTTTACATATAGTGAACTACAAATTGTACATATATAGTAGAAACCCGAATTAACCAAGGTGATCTAATAATTCAGTTATGCAGAATTTTCTGTGGCTGCAGAGTAGTACATTCTATATAACTGAATTTGTGTTTTTTGTTTAAGATACATGTTATATGTTACATTATAGTTAAAAGGTATATTGCGTAACTTATAAATTTAAGGTTTACCAAGGTTACTTTAAAACTTTTAATAAAAAAAAATTTTTTTCTAATTATTACTTTTAGTTATTTTAGCATACAAATTTGTACACTAAACTGGATGGTTTAAGGAATAAGTTAAAAACAAAATGTATTAATTATACAATTAATCTTACAATTAAAGCAAATTTTAAATATTTAAATACTATGTTCTTTCTTATTTTTACAAGAACAAAAAAATTTATACCTCTACATTAAACTGTTTATAAAAGATTATTTACAAAGCACTAACAATATACAAAAATCTAAATATGATTATTATTATTAACAAAACAACCAAAAACTTAATATATCAAAAACTTTACCAAAGAATTGCAATAAGCTATATTATTAACAAAAATTTTAATACATTAATTTTCAAAAAAGTCTATTAAATAATCAAATATTATAAAGAATTTACAAAGAAACAACTACTTATTAAAGCAAAAGATATACAAAAGATATTCTAAATAGCATTTGCAGCACAACTTAAATCTTTTTTTGCACATCTAAAGCAAAAATCCAAGAAAATTATACAAATGCTGCCATTTAAGCTACTAATTAGTTAGTATATATATATAAAAGCTATTATTACTTTACTATAAAAGATCTTTTGTTTTAATCAATTATTAGCTAAATATTTTATTAAACTAGACTATTACTAATAAAAATATTAAATCTAAATCTAGCAGTTAAAAGCCTATTTTCAATTATAAGCTGTAGCACACTACAGAATCTAGCATTATATAAAAAAAAAATACAGAACTTATATAACTACACAAACTATTTTAACCTCTTGTTTTTAAAACAATATTTCTTACTAGCTTATCAAGATCTCAGCAGCAAATATAGGCATTATTTTTTAATTAATATATAAGACCAAGTGTTGCAATTATTTTAGTAACTAAACAAATTGGGCTTAGATAATAAGTGTTAAAGATAGTATAATAAATAATGCATGTTTATACTATTATTTGGAAGTTTTTACTAGTTTTCTTTCAAAATAAGTATTGAAATCCTAGATTTTATTGGTTTTTTCCTTTATTTTTACTTTTACTTTTACTTAAAGTTTTTCTTTTATTAATTTACTGTTACTTATATGTCTTATTTTAATCTAAATTACATCATATTTGATCATATGTTAATTTAACTTTTAAATTAATTATCTCATAGTTGATTTTATATACTATTACTAACTTTTAAAATAATTACCTTATAATTAATTTCACTTATTATCTTTGACTTATAAATTTATTACATATATCTTATGTATAATTCTTATTTTACTTTGATAGACTATTTTGTACTATTGACCCTTATGTGACTAATCATAGTTTTCTGATTTCAATTAATTATCATATAAATACATGATAAATTAATTGCTTAGAATGTAAATGAAGTAAACATTCCTTAACCTCTTATAATATATATATTATTTTTATTTTTTATTTATTTATTTAAATCTATTACTTAATATTCTGGAGCCTTCAACCAACTAACTCTAACACTTCAATCAGATTACTATCACAAACCTAACTATCATATACCTACAGTTGTACTTGTGGACTTCCAGACCAGCAGCACACAGGTGACTTTTACAACTCTTATATTTGCCCACCGCAAGGAAAAGCAAATAAAAAACTATTCAAATAGATATCTAAATGGATAAACTATAGTATTCCTACCAATAATATTTTACAATATCAAATCTAGATGATTTTTAACCACTCTAGTAGATTTAGATTGCAGATAAATTAGATTAAATTAGATAATAATTTTGTTTATAGTCTGAGTCTTATTCTTGTAAAAAATTTGTAAATTAGCTCTAGCCTGTGTCAACTTATGTAGTTGCCCAAAACAAATTAATAATAAAGATAAAGGCAAAACCTCACCTTAATACCAAAAAAAAAAAATTCTGAAACCTATATTGATACTACAAACTAAGTACACTGTATACAAGTTATCACCCTAACATAAGCTAAATTTCTCATAACCTTCATCCTCAAAGTTATCCTATACTTTATCTTTACTCTTAGCATTCTCAAGACCTCAACTGTCTTACATAGCTTCTTAACTTTGTTTTATATAATAGAATCTCTTAATTCAGTACCATTTAACTCAGCAAGGTAATACTGTTCATAACTTCCAATTTTCTGAACCCTAAAAGAACCAAGCCAGTGATAATCTAGCTTTTGTAACAATGAAGTTTCTAATATTAAATTATATATCAAGACCAAATCATTTCTGTTAATTCTTTTCTTTGTTATATTGTTTTTATCATTCTCTTAACTCATCATGATTCATCTGTGTACTCTGTAAATTGCAATTCAGATTTTTTATTTGCAATATTCAGAACTCTATTAATTCTTTAGTTGTCCATGATCTTCTTATTATATAGGCTTAATATGTATTAATTGTCAATTCAATTGGTATTACTGCATCTCTGCTATATATAAGCCAAAAAGGTAAATACTTTAATTCTCCTACAGTGATATTTATAGCCTATACCACTTCTCACAAATACTTATGCCAATGATTCTGCCTCTCTGCACACATCTAATACAAGTCTTTAATAATTTTCTAAACAGTTCTTTCTGCTTTATTATTGCCTCAGAGTGGTAACTTGTTGCAAAGTTTTGGCTTATGCCTAAGCATGTAGCAAGTTTATTTATTATTTTATTTTTAAATTCAGTGCCTCTATCAAACACAAGTTTAGCAAAACATCTATGTTTTGTAATAATATCATCTCAGATAAATTGGGCAATATTCTTTACATTTTTTTTCTAAGTGCTTTGGCTTTGACAAATCCAGTCAGATCTTTTACAGCAACTATAATGTGTTCATAACCAGCACTAGATTAGTGCATTGGCCCAATACAGTCTATAAACAGCTTATAGAAAATTCAACTCATTGCTGTAACATATATCAGCTTCTTTGGAATCTTGAGTTCACATTTTTGACAAATTAGGCATGATTTCACATAATTTCTAATGTTTCAATACAAGTTACTAGAGGCCTATTTATAGTTCATTAGTATTTTTCTAATACAACTATTAATCTCTCAATAACTATCTTCTTCAGCAATTCTATTATGATTTGCTTTCACAATCTTTCTTTTTTTCATATTTTCAAAAATTACACATCTTGGCAGTTTGCCTTTCATAGCTCTATGATATAGTTGTTTGTCTAAAAGACAGTATCTCCTTAACTTGGAATTTAAACATCTCAAGTTCTCTCTAGTCATGTAAGGTGGCTATTGAAATGTCTTTAGATAATAGATTATTACCTTTAGATTATACAGTTTTTAATTTTCAATATTCACATTTATTAGCAAATGTTTAACAAATTCTTTATTAGTCAGATGCAGTTGTATTAGTGAATTTGAATATCTTGAGATACTATTAGCATTATAGTGTGACCTGACAAGCTTATAATAAATTTGAAAATTAAACATTTGAAGTGCTAAAACCCATTGTATGAGGTGTCCTTTAAGCATTGCCTTATTAAATAACTATTTTAAAGCATAATGGTCTACCTATACATCAAAAGTTATTTTTCTTACATAGTGTTCATTCATATTATAACCAAACACAACACTCAAGCACTTCTTCTCTGTCACAGTATAATTGCATTCATGTTTATTTAATTTTCTGGACTCAAATATTACAGAATGTAAATGCTCTTCATTATCATATTGTTCCAAGACTACACTTAAAGATATATCACAGACATTAGTAAAAATCTGATATGAAGACTGTTCATCCTTGGCCTTTTGCCAGTCTGATGCCTTAATACAACATCATTTGTTAATGATTCTTTTAGAGCCTGAAATGATTGTTTTTGTTTGAATTTTCAATAATATCCTATATATTGTTTTATAAGATCTGTCAAAGGTTTAGCTATTTTACTAAAATTTTTAATAAAGTGACAATAGTAATTTACTATACCTACAAATAACTGAACCTCAGTAAAGCACTTGAATATTTCCAATCAACAATTTTTTTTATTCAGTTTGGATCAACTTTCATTATATATTTACCAACTATGAACCTATATATGTTCAGCACTTTAAAGAGCAAGTAATATTTCTTTATAGCAAATGCTAACTCAGTTTTCTTAAATCTCTGTGCCAATTTTACAAACATGTCAATATGGGTCTTGATTAAACTGTCTGTCCATAATTCCACATCATCTTGATATGCTACAGTAATATTATGCCATTCCTTATCTTTCAATACAACATTCATTAAATATTAGAATGTTTCACTGGCATTTTTTAACCTTATACATATGACTGTGTATCTTAGAAGTCCAATTGGGATCACAACAGCAACCTTATTTCTATCTTCTTCTTGAATTTGAATTTGCCAGTATCTTTTGTATGCATTGACTGAAGAATATCAGTTATATCTTACTGCCAATTTAAGAATGTCATAAATTATTAGTAATAGGTAGTTATCCTTAACTATATATTTATTCAAGAGCCTTATATCATCTATAACTCGAAATTGATCAGATCCACCTTCTTTCTTGTTTATTAAAAAGCAATAATATGCATATTGCTCTTTGCTTTTTTCTAACAATCTTTGCTTTATTATTTCTTAAAGTTGATTTTTAAATTATTTTGCCTTCTTAGGATTATTTATATGAAGAGGTCTTATTTTAGTTTCTGGTATTTCTTTTCCTTCTGTTCACACTTCATATTTAATCAAATCTGTCTTTTCTATTTCAGAAAGTTCAAAAGCAAACACTTCTGGAACCTTTTCAGTTAATTGGTTAATCAGATAATCTCTATATTCTTTTGATGTTTCCTTATTAATGTCTAATGCATTGTTATTATCTTTTGTAAGACACATAATTAATTTTGGTCTTTTGTTACTTACAAATCCATTTTTATCTTTTTGTTCAGCAGACCAATAAATAATATGACCACAATGTCTGCTCTTTTTTAATTAATTATTGTTGATTAGCACTTGTTCCTTTACTATCAAGCAACTATTATTTTTAGCTTTAGATATTATCTCCTTGTATTCAATATTCACCTTTTCTATTTCTGGCTCTTCTTTTTGTACACTTTATACTAATAATTCATCAGTTTTATTGTCTTCTTTATCTTTAATCTCTTTATCTAGATAGTTCCAGAAACTTGTCCAATATCAGGTACTGTAGTAGCAATGAATAACACTTCTTTACATTTAGAAGCAATTGAACATTAGTAATGGTTTTCTCTTTATTTTAGATTACATTTTACTGCAGCAATCCATGACATTCCTAGTAAAACATTGAAAATGACAGATTCTAAAATGTAAAAGACTTGGTTTACTATTACACCTTCCATATCAACTTCTATGTTTGGTATGTATCCTAAAAAGTTACTGATACTATTATCTGCCATTCTTCTTTTTTGTTAACTGACCTCCATGTCAAACCTCTTCTTTTAGCATACTTTTCATTTATTAGGTTTAATCATAATCTAGGATCAATTGGTGCTTTAATTTTTTCCCTATTGATAGCAACTACACCTATCAGCATATTACTAGTTTGTCTCATCTTTGTCTGCTAAACAGTTTGAATTATATTAACATTAGCATCCAATGTCATACTGTTATTTTTTTTTCTTTTGCAAGTCAATGCTCTTAATACTTCTGACCTCACTTTTGAAAACCATTTAAACAATTGACCAAGCATCAAAGTTATTTCCATTTTAGCTATTTTTTTAAAAATATCAAGTTTTTAACTTAACTCTGACAATGGTATATATATTACAACACTCAACTTTTGTGACTGTGTCAAGTTATCTTTGGTTTGATTAACTTTCTTTATTCTTTTTTCTTTCTTATTCTTTAGTACTGACATTTCTGCATCCTTATTATTAAGACACCTTTTCTTATAAAGATTCCAGTTTCTTATATCAAATATAGGTTCTTCTTTTACAATCTCGACCTTCAAGTATTTAACTACTGCATCACTAGGTGCTTAAGTTACTTTTAAGTATTGAATGTTGGCATTTCTAACTTTAGCATTATTATTTTCTATGTTTAGTGTTCATATCTTTGCTCAACAGGAGAATTTTAAGAACTTTAATTTAGGCAATTATATGAAATGTAACCTTCTTGTTGATAGCTAAAACACTATCAATTTTCAGTGTTCACTCTTTGAAGTCTTGAATTTCAAATAGTACATGGATTTCTTGAACTGAAATAACCTTACACTGCATTGTTGATAATAAGTTCTCTAACCATCTTAACTAATTCTTTGACATCTAACTCAATCTGATCAAACTTGCTATTATTATTGTTAGTTTTTTGTTTAACTCAATTTATAGATAAAGTTCTTAATATAGCAGCTATACTATTGATTTCTGGATCACTTGATGAGGCTTTTTTTCAACTATCAATAAACTTTTTTTATTATTTTGCTCTCTATTTTTATAAAATTTATCGATTTGGAGTGTACACTCTTTGGCTTTCACAAAATTCCCTAGACAAAAATTTTCTACTTTTATTCAGTAGGTCTTTTGCATTCCATCTAGGTACTAATTTCACTGCTTATCACCTTTTATTCCTTTTTTTATAGCATCCAAATAGGCTTTAAATCTGCTTGTATAGCCTCTTATAGTTTCTTTCAAACCTTGTTTAATATTCTTAAGGCAGTTTATTTTCAATATTTCATTACTTTTTGCATTAATTACTTTTACAATTCAATTTTTTAGTGTATTCTACTTATTATTACATCCTCTAATTAATTCTTTAACTCATGTTTTTATTTGGTCAGACATATGCATAACTACCATTTCACATTTTGTCTCTTCATTCTATCCTTTTGATTTGGCATATCTTCCATAGTTGAAAAGAAATCTATTAATATTGTTATTTATATCTTTGTGAAAAAATGGTTTTGTCAAATCCTTAGACATATTACTTTGTTTATTTAAACAGTTTTTACTATTTAGCAAGATACTCTTAACACAAGGTACATACTATTGTGCTATTGCACTCTAAATGTACTTCAAATGAACCAGCTTTGAGTCAGTATCCAAAAATGTTTATACAGTAATTTTACATTTTTATTGTTGCAAGGATGTTTTTATCTACCGAGCTTTTTATGTTATGATTTTTTTAGTAACTAAGGTCACTAAACAGATTTAAATCAGATGATAGGCACTAAAGATAGTACAATAAATAGTGCATACTTATACTACTATTTGAAGGTTTTTACTAGCTCTTTTTTAAAGATAAGTATTGCTATTCTAAACTTTATTGGTTCCTCCCTTTATTTTTATTTTTACTTTTACTTAAAGTTTTTCTTTTACTAATTTTGCTATTACTTATATGCCTTATTTTTAATCTAAATTACATTATATTTGATCATATGTTTATTTAACTTTTAAATTAATTATCTCATAATTGATTTCATATATTATCACTAACTTTTAAATTAATTATCTCATAATTGATTTTACTTATTATCTTTGACTTATAAATTTATTATGCATATCTTATACATAATTCTTATCTTACTTTGAAAGACTATTTCATACTACTGACCCTTATATGACTGATCATAGTTTCCTGACCCCAATCAATCATTATATAAACATATGATGCATCAATCACTTAGAACATAAATGAAGTAAACATTTCTTAATCTTAAATGAAGTAAACATTTCTTAACCTCTTATATATATATATATATATTATTATTTATTTATTTATTTATTTATTTATTTGAACCTATTACTTAATGTTTTAGGGCCTATATTAATACTACAAACTAAGTATACTGTATACAATTTATCACTATGACATCAAGAAACAGACTTACCAGATCTAATACAATAGTTAAGAAAAGATTACTATTTAAAAACATTTCAAATAACTATTTTAAAATCAAACTACCACTTTTAAAAATCTTGAAAAAGATACAAAATCAAGATACCTTCATATTTCTAATACAAGATAATTTAATTATAAAGTACTTTGTTGAACAGATTTACTCTGTTACAAATTTTTATTTTCACTTCTACCAAACATTATAATTGTAAATCTTACTAAGATACTTGGCTACCTAATACTTATAACTTATTAACAACTACAATATTACTATTTCTATAACTTCAAAGAAACAGTTAGTTAATACAATAAGAATGCTTAGCAAAAATTATTACTTTTATTAAATTTTAAATACTTGAATATAAATCTAATAAAAAAAATACAACATTTAATGCCAAACAACAATTCAACAAGCCAATTATTTCTAATACATTACTGGCCATTGTAAAATACTTAATAACAAAAAATATAAACATAATATATATAGCAATCCTCATAGTAGAACAAGTAGAAGTCAACAGAATGTGGCAACCTAGTGAAGTGATCAGGTTGTCAACTTCCAAGTGGCAGGTCCAGAGTTCAAATCCTAGTGTTAATAAAAAATTTGAAAATCCTCTCTGTGTTATGATTAACTGTCTCTTACATTTGGTTGAGATAAAATATCTACTATCTGTATTACACCAGCATGACTGACAGATTACATAACATTTGTGTAACAATTACATGACATTGTTCTTTGGAACAAGGTCTGTGATTACATGAAGGAATGCAAACTGGTACTGGGCAGTGCAAACCTACAATAAGCCCTCATAGTATGTAAATTATAGAAACCAAAAGAAAGAAAATGAAAGCCTACTTGAAAGACCCAAGTATAAAGGTAATCTAAACTTTTAACAGTGCTACTATAAAGACTAAACTTATAAAACAGAGCTAGAACTTGTGAAACTGGGCAAATATACCAGTTTTTAAAAAGAAACCAGATGAACCAACCAGGCTGCTAGAATTTCTGAATTTCAAAAAAAAAGGATACATAGCAGCAAACATGTAAACCAAATGTGTATGATTATGACCTACCTTTCTTGACTATCTGAAATGGCAGCTTGGTATAATTTAAATTGAATACCAAAGTAGTAAGGATATATTGTAAAGTTAGTACTAGGATTGGGGTAAACTCGACAAAACCATAGCAGTTTAATAGTACAATCTGACTATTAGTATTGGTTTTGGCTATAGCAAAATTAGTTTAGCTGTAATAATGAAATACAGAAGATTTTAGAAGGTTTAATACAAAGTTAAAGATTCTAAAAAAACTACTTTAAAGACTTAGTAACTATGGCATATTTTTACTGGCATCAGCCAGATCACTGGTAGACAGAGGTAGATAAGTGGTCACAAAAACTAGAGTGGTCAATAAAGAATCTACAAGTAAGTTTTAGGTATAGCAGCTAGTGTAGAACCTTCAGGCAAACTACTTAAATTAGACAATATCTAAAGTTGTACAAGTGGTTAATTGTACACTCTTTTTATGATTGCCTTCTGTGGTTGTAATACAACTATTAGCCAAATATACTATCAATAAAATTCTAAATCACAAGTACTATTTTAAAAAAAAAAAATAAGTAGAAGTCAACAAAACTCTTAAATTCTTTTATTTATGCTTTATTATTAAAACTATTTCAAACAAACTTTTCTTATTGCTATTACTTTTAGTTTCCAACTAAAATATTTTTAAATTACTTTTTACTTAATAACTAAACATAACTTAGACATACTTACTACTAACAACAACATTGTAACAACTATTAAACAACTAAAAGAATCTTAAATAAAGCAAATCTATTCAAATTTAACCTAAATAAAAAAATCAACATAACTACTTATAATGTAAAAGGTATTAATAACATACTAAAAATACAAATATGAATTGAATATTGTGCAAAATTAAACTTATATATAATTTCTTTTATAAAAACTAAACTAAAAAAATTAATAACAAGAGCATTAACTAACTTTTTATATAAAATTTATATTTTAAATTTATATTATATAAAACAAATTAACATAAAACTAGTTTAAAAACTATACTAATAGTTTGTAATAAACTACAACTATATATTTACAAAATTAATACTTTTTTAGAAACAACAATCAGTATTAACTTTGTTTTTTCAAACAACACAAATCTTGTACTATTTCTTCAAATTATTCATTTCTTTCAAAGTATATCTAGTCTCAAATACTTATTTAGACTATAAAAACTAAACCAAAAATTTGGACCTAATTATATTAGGTAATTTTAATGCAAACTAATATAAAAACTAATACTTTTTAACTTTTACTAACCTAAATGCTACTAACCTATAGTTTCTTACTTTTTATAATATCTAAGCATCTACCTGGATGGTTTAGTCAAATAAATAATTTTTGGATTTTTTTGATACTTTATTAGCATTTGAACCTCTATTACTTGTTAATGCTTTATATATTTTAGACAGTAATCACTATATTTTATACAAATCTTGGCATACTAATTTTATTTAACAAAAAACTTAGAAACAAAAAAAAGATATCTATTTAAAAAAATGACATTAAAGAATTAAAATAATATTTTTTTTAATTTTAAGCAGTTATGCTAGTATTTTATTAAGATTTTTGAAACTATATACATTTATAATTATATAGAATTTCCCAATACTCAAGTCTAGCATCACTTAGCCACTCTATTGATAACTAAGTGCAATTTGCTGCACTATCTTAGTTAGAGATAGACTGCTCATCTAACTACTTAAAATCATATTAAAAAGGTTTTTCTCTTACTGTGACAAGTATATTAATTGTCTTCTAAGCTTTCTTCTTTATTTAGTTTATTTTTCTCACTTTCTTTTCCTTTTCTTCTTTCTTTGTCACCTTATTCTTTTTTGATCTTTTTTTTTCTTTTAGTTCAAGAACCTTTTTTTTTTTTGCTTGTTATATTAATCTTTTTTTCTATTCTTGTACTTTTTCATACCAAACTCTCTATACTTAGTCATAGAATGTATTTCACACTGTTCTTGTTACTATTTCTATGTATTTCTGTGTTGCCTGTCTATTTAGAATCTGACTGATTCTTTTTTTAACCTTATTTGTTGTTAGCTCTTTTATCAATGTTGTTCTATTAGTAATTTTCTTTGCTTCTGTTTTTCCAAATAGTGTCTTATATAGTACTAGAAGTAAGATTCTAACTTTATTATTTTCTTTAAAACTATTTTATACCACTGCTATTGCTACCTTTTGGATTCTCTTCTACAAGCTTTTTTGTCTGATGCAATTTACTAAGTGTATTTGAGTTTTCTTTTCATTTTTTTGATATACTTGGCAGTTAGTTATTGTATATATTTCTGGTTTTCTTTTATTTTATTCTTCTAGCATTAGTAGGCTATCCATTATGTATTTAATTACTATTGCTCTTCTTGTACTAAGTTTTCTTGTTGTGCAATATACATCCTTTGTTCTATTCATCTCTTTTCAAAAGCTTGACCAATTATATTAAGTGTTCTCAGTTTTTGGTTCTAGTACTCAAATTGGATTTGTTTCTCACCAACTAGCTTCAATTCTTGCATTTGTGACTATTTTGCAAAGAAGTCTTGCTAGTATATCAACTTTCCTGTTTTCTATTCTAAGTGGTACTCTATTTTGTTATATTTGATCTTTTCTATAAATATTGTCCTTTTATACATTGCTCTATTTTTTACAAGTAAATTTGCTCTGTCATTCCACTTATTATTACTATAACTTTTAATCTTAACTAGTTCTATACTATTGTTCTTGCTTTTGAGTAAACTTATAATATTTATTATCCACATCATATTTTTCTTTTTTAAGACTTTGTTATCTCTTATTTTTTGAATTGCTTTGCTAATATATTTTAATGCTGTAAGGCTATCTGT